ATCTTGACCAGCTGCCTTTAATCACACTACTTACTGAACTATCACTGTCACCCATTATTAATGAACAGATGCTTCAACCAGCCAATCAGAAATGGAAATTTGTTATAAAAATGTAAAACGTTTTTGGACTTTATTTGGAATGGTCATGTTCAGGGATTACATATTTTATCCGCAGTTGATAAGATGGACTTAAATTGATGAACATACCCAAGCTGAAGAGTTTTTTTTTTTAATAAATGAATACTTTTATTCAACAAGCACACTTAAAAATGAATAAAAGTAAAGAGAATTTTCTTGAGCAGAAAATCGGCATATTAGAATGATTTCAGAAGGATCATGTGACACTGAAGACTGGAGTAATGATGCTGAAAATTCAGCTTTGTCCTTTTAAATTGTAATACTGTTTTATATAATATTACTGTTTTAATGTATTTCTGATCAAATAAATTCAGCCTTGCTGAACATAAGAGACTTCTTTCCTAAACATAAAAAAATCTCATTAAAGGGATAGTTCACTTTGAAATTAATTTTTTATATGTTTTAGCTTACCTCAAGGTCATCCAAGATGTAGGTGTCTTTGTTTCCACAGTATTTTCAATTTTGACATATATGGCTGTGGTTAGACGAGGTAAAAACGATATAAATTCTGTTTGTTTTCTCACACAAACTGCTCGCTTCGTGTCTTAGGCCATCAGTAACATTTACGAGTCATTAAATCATGTTTAATTTGGACTTCTCTGTGCATGCTCTTTGAGGTGGACCCCCTAAACCTGCATTAAATGACGACAGACAACAACAGTTTGACCGAAAAATGTCAAAATTGAAAATACTGTGGAAACAAAGACACCTACATCTTGGATGCCCTTGAGGTAAGCAAAAACATATCAAAAATTCATTTCAAAGTGAACTGTCCCTTTAATCCCTTTAAGCCAAAAGGGGACCTTCCCACGCACATTGATCCACTGTCTGTCTCATGTGACAGTTGGTCATACATCATTCAAAAAGAGACAAATATGCATATTTGCATGACCTCTGGGGTAAAGATATTTATAAAGAGCATAAGGCAATAGACATGTAGGCCTACTAATTAGACATCCAATATGTTTGCATCTGACAGAGAAATGAAACACCTCTAAAAATGCCTGTTCCTGCAACTGGTGATCTATTAGTGACATAATATTATTAGTCAGTGTGTGAGATATGAAAAGTATAAATGATGAGGTTGAATAAGTAATAATGACGACGTGGACGGATGCGAGCAGCAGCGTCGCGCTGTTATCACGTAGGCGTAGGGTTTGATCAAGCAAGAGGAAGCTCTGTGGTTTCTGATTGGTTGCCTCAAGTTTTCCGTTTGCTGACAGATCTCCATGATCTCTGCAGCCAGTCTGATTTAGACATGGAGCGGTTTGTCACCTCAGCATTGGTTAGTTACATCACAATGTCTTGAGGCCTGGGAGGACATTTCTGAGAACATACTGTAACTGTAGGGCTAAAACATTTAGTCATTCAATCTGACTTTAATTATAGATGAAAACAAAAAGATTGAATAAGTTCCCTTTTTCCACTATTAAAATATTTGAGTGATTCAAGGAAACTCTGAGACAGTATCACTGTTGTGCTGTTCCTTGGAGCATCAACATGAGTATTGCACTATGCAAGAAAAAAAAAACAGAGACATTTATAAAGACTGCTTGAATCTACATGAATGAGTCATAGATGGCGTTGATCCTGGTTTGGAGCGAAATCAGACGCAACGGTAGAGGTGTTGGCTGAGGCAGCGTCCCTCTTAGCACTTGCCGCCTCTCCTTTTCCTGGCTGAGCCTTTAGCTTGAGCCTCAGCCTAGCTTCCTGACTGTTTTCCTGTTCAGCTCTGGGAATGCAAACAACGTGTGCACCCCCACCCTTCACTGCTTCCCTGCATTTGGAAGTCCATAGTGACACCCAGTGTCCCATATTAAAAGTTAACCCTGTAAAGCCTATTGATCATATTTGATCTCTAAGGCCTCTAAATTATCGACGTGATCAAATTGTCGCTTTACACAATCCACTGCATGCTTTGTTGTTGGAAAGTTTATACTTAAGTCTTCAGGTGTCTTTTTGCTGTGAAATCCTTACTGATTTTAGACACAATGCCAAAACTAGAGTAAACATAAGAATAGCCATTTGTCAGTAATATTATTAGTAATATTTTAACATGAACATGCAGGATTGAAGCTACATTTGTTTGAAATATCATGTTAAAATGTATCAAATTTGATACATCAGGCTTTTAAGGAATGTTTTTTTCTACATCACCTAATTATCCTTTTATTGCACACATTTTAAACACATAGGCTATTTTTTTCAACAGTTTTGTCTAAAGGTTCAATAAACTGTTCAGGCCCATTTAAGGACAATCACTATAACAATAAAGATAGTTTAGATAAACTAAGTGTCTAATGGCAAATTTATATTAAATTTAGACTTTCTGAAGAAAATGTGAATTATATAAGTAGCTCCCACAATGCTAGAGTGTTTTGGTTGGACGCAGATCATTGCTATGCACTTCATAAAGTGTTCTGAGTCATTTTACTGCATTTCTAGGTGGTTGATTCAGACAAAAAGCTGTCAAAAAGTCAGAATGATATTCTGGCCCCTATAGACCATTTTGCAAGATGTAAACAACGCTGGTCCAGAAGCACTTCCTGTTTCAGTTTTTTAACACTACATAAAAGCTGGGATAAAATACAACCAACAGAACATATAAAACTTAATCAAAAAGTTAAACAAACATCTTTAAGATGTTTTCTTTACATGTGAAATAAAGAAAACAGTTACAAACTGAAACAGGAAGTGTTTCTGGACCAGTGCTGTTTACATTTTTCAAAATTGTCTATAAAGGGCTCAAGGTCCCTTAAACGCCAGACAACTACTTCAGGCTGAAATCTTTAGTCCGATCACAAACGTATAGCTCGTTCTTTTTGGAATTTTGGATAACAAGTACCATTTAAAATAATAATAATAATAATAATAATAATATATATATTAAAGTAAAGTAGTCCAAAAGAAACTGTAGAATGTGCATGTAGACTCATGGTGTCTTATGGTTCATTCAAGTCCAAGTTGGAAAGTTATAATTTATTTACGACGTCACTTTAGAGCATTTCTACAAAATGATTAATAAAGAATGAGCATCGGTTGTTTTTGTTTCCCTATTGTGAAGTACGAATATTCAAGTGAAAGGATTTCGAGATTTTGTCCATTGACAATTAAAGATGCAGTAAGCGACTTTTGAGAATCATTGTTGAACACGGTTGATATTTGAGGAAGAACAAAATATGAACATGCAGTACAGAATTTTTCTTTTATATTTTACAGAACATACGAGAGTTCATTGTTAGTCACCAGCAGCACACACTCAAAACCAATGTTACGAGTCAGTAAATCATGTTTAAAGCAAAATGTCTAAAACATATCAAAAATTAATTTCAAAGTGAACTATCCCTTTAAATCACCTTTCTTTCCCATTCATTCAGTTTGGAGTTCAGAAGATTGTCTTGATCAAGACCAAACCCCTAAATGCATTGAAGCAACTGCCATGTGATTGGTTATATATAAAAATAATGCATGTGCAATATTATTTATCATAAACAGAAATATTGCACATTTTGAGGTTTCACTTGTTGTTTATGGAAGGGACTCATTGTTTTGTCATTGAGGAATCATTAGAGTCAAATGAGAAAAGAGAGAGATCAAGAATGAAATCTCACACACTTGGACAGCCATTACACATGTTAGAGAGTGGGCCGTTTACCAGCCCAGAAAATGTGAGAGTGGGCACAATCAAAAGAGGTCTTTCATAGGGACAATGATGTTGGTGTTAGAGCCAGAAAACAGGCAACAGCAAGAATCAAGAAGTCTAACTCTTAGTCGCATACAGAAAATGCCAAGTATTATTAACATGTTAAAGATCTCTTCATAGTTGTGACGTATTTAGGAAATGCGATCTGGAACAATGGCCTTCTCTTCAACAATCAGCAGTATTGTTCAGAGGCTTTGCTAATTTCCACATTTCAATAGGGAAAACAGTTGATCTATGTTTTCTAGGACTCATTCAGCACAGCATAGGATTGTAAAGCATGTTGCATGTAAGACTGGCCTATAAGGAAAGAAAGTCTATACACAATTGTTGAAATAGTTGTAACCGGCTTGAAAAACTGAACATCATATATAACAAAAAAAAAGACACAAAGAGGACATAAAATCGCATATATGTTGCAACAGGGTCAGTAGACAGCAACACTGTAAACTTGAATAGAATTGTGGAGTGAATTTAATGTACTTGATCACAGACTGCCCTCTAGTGGATCAAATCAATCGTGCAGTTACAACACTTGAGACAGGACGACAAAGTAGCTAATATTGTCATTATTTATTTTTGTCGAAAATTGCAATTGGTTACAATTATGGAGATCAGTGTTTGCTTTAGTTGGGCTCTTGAGCCTTAAGTCATTTATTTTAGAATTTGTTCGGCTATTGTACTTATGTTATAACAGCCAAATGAATAAAGAGAAAAGGTGATTTGATGGTGCTCGCTGTTTAACATTGTCATTATTTCACAATCTTTTGACCTGAGTAGAGCCCAATTTCTGAGTTAAATTTACTTTATTGTTAATTGTTACAACACTGTCCTTGAAAATCATAATATTCTCAACTTTTACAATGTAATCCAAATAATTTCTTAAATGTCTAGAAATGTCTAATCTCTTAAATTTCTAGATGTGAACAGTGTTTGGGCAGTTACTAATGATGTTTCACAAGTCCACAAGAACACAAGTACAGACAAGAACCCATATTGGGCCTTTGACTCCTATCATGTCATGTTCTCATTGGTTTATGGTCATGTGGTTTTCAGTTGTGTCTTCCCATTGGTTCATTGTGTTGATTACTTTCAGGTGTGTCTAATGTTATTACTCATTAGTCCTTGTGGATACATATAGGCATCATGTTTCCATAGTCTGTTGTCAAGCTTTGTTCTTTGTAACTGCTGTTTGGTGAGTCTCGTGGTAATGTTTCTTAAATCATAGTCATGTTTGGTTTATTTTCAATAAATAAATTGCACTTGGAGTCGTGTGCTCCTATCAGTGGGCTAAATATGACAGTATAATGGTGCTGTAATGGAATTCAGTCCTTTAGTGCAAAAATAATTTGAGTGAGAAAGTGTATTTTAGAATCTTGTTGTTAAAAAAAAAACTTCAGAGCATTTCAACTCCAAGTTTTGCTTTTGAGTCTGTTTTTGTTCTAAATAGTGTACTCGTGTGTCCCCTTAAAACAATTCCAGGGCTTTCCTTTTCCACATTCAACATGCTGGTGCAAAAGCTAAATTGGATCACTTGTGAGTACTGATTTAGAAGCAATTCAATTAGCATGATTTTTGAATGTTTTAACTTGTTGTTTTTGGCCTTTCAGTGTTGCTGTTTCTGTGTCATAATGGTAAGGCAATACTGACTAATGCATGTGCAATCTCATTAAAGACTTTTGGTGAAGAATGTTTAAGCAACTTTACTTGTTTCCTCTCTTCAGGAGCTGAAGCAAATAAAAAAGCAATGGCTTGTGAAGGAGAATCTGTGCATCTCAAATGTGGTGAGTAGTCCTTAAGTTATACGTTTGGCTTTTGTTCCCAAAGAGGACCGTATGAGTGTAGGGAACCGGATTCATCAGTGTATCTTGAGCCTTTGTGTCCTAACATGAGATGTGCTTAAACTGCCACCATTATCTTTCTTTGAACCTCAGATGTGGGATTCATAAAGGTTGTTAAAGCCAACTATGGGCGAACTGATTGCGCAACATGCGCTAGTGGGAAACCAGCTAGTCAGCTCTCAAATCATCAATGCAGCTCAGAAGCGTCCCTCTCAATAATGTCCGCTCGGTAGGTTTAACCAGCAAAGAAGTTACAATTTTAGTTTATGCATTAAGCACAAGATGCATATTAACGCTAAGCTCTTGTCATTTGTCTGTCCATGAATCAGGTGTGATGGAAGAGAGTGCTGTACTGTTCCTGCAGGGAACTCTGTTTTCTCTGATCCTTGTTTTGGGACTTATAAATATCTGGATGTATCTTATGACTGTATCCCTGCAAGTAATTAATTTCCATTGTTCACTTTGAAGTTTAAAATTGTATAAAGGCATGGCAAATTAGTAAAAACATTTTACTATTTGCCTGTAGAAAGAAGTGTAACGTGTGAAAATAGTGAAAGCGTCATTAACTGTGGTAAGTTCTTCTCTTTTTATGTTTTTTTTAATGAGTCTAGTCTCATGTCTACAATGCTTTGAGTGGATCAGTACACAGCTCTTTTTTTTCCTTTTAAAAACCAAAAACTCTTTAATTGACATTTTTACTCATTTGCAAACAATCACTAAAGAAATCTTATCAATGTCTGTGTGTATCAAAAGGTAAAGGGGTTATTCATGTTCATCATGCCAATTATGGACGGCGGGATCTTGTCACCTGCCCTCATGAATTCGCAACCAGATCCGACTGTTACTCTCCTCAGACCAGCAGCCTGCGTTCCAGGTACATCAACTACACTTCATCTGGAGTCACTTTAGGTCACAATGTCTTCAGCTATTTTTTTTTTTTTTTTTTGTAGAATGATACAAGAGCTAATAGTCTTTTCTAATTTTTTTTTTCTCTCCTAAGGTGTGACGGGAAGAAGTCTTGTCAACTAAGTGCTTCAAATTCTGTCTTCTCTGATCCATGTGTTGGTGTTTTTAAGTATCTGGAAGTGACATACAGTTGTGAAACATGTGATTGACCATACTGCTAAAAAAATTCACCTTTTATGTCTGTCATGTACAGTGGAAATCAAAATAAAGCAAGTTTAAAAGTAGAATCAATCCAGATGCTTTACAAATGTTTTTTAAGCATAGGTTTTAATTTTTTTTTTTTAACTAAAAATAGTTTTCAAATTGTGGCTTCCTTAGTAATGACATGCTATATTTCATAAAACACTATTTGTCTTTAGTTTCTGTAAAGCTTTTCTTTTGTAGGAATTGCAAAAAGCACTTTCCATACATTTTCAAAAGCATCTTCCAGAGACTTTTAAATGCACTACACAATCTTATCTAATTTAAAGTGCTGGAGTAATAACCCTGTCCCATTAAGAAGCCACCATCACTGCCCCACTCTGAATTTGTAAACCACTAGAGATTTTTATTATTGTTACGCTCGATTGCTGTGCTACAACAAAAGTGGATAATTTGGATTCATTTTTAAGAGATGTGGCTTAAATGATTAAGTCTTTCAAGTGCAAAAGGCAGCAAAAAGAACTCCATTTGATATGAATGACGCAATTTCTGTTTTTTTTTTTTTTTTTTTTTTTTTTTTTTTTTTTTGATTGCACAAACACCAGAAGCATGCGCGCATAAAGCCGCTGGTCACACTGCAAGTGCGTACTAAATTTATTTTTGGCAGCTTATTGTGCATGATCAAACACACTTGTGTTAAAATGCCAATCTCTCCAAGTTTTCATTTAAACGGTTATGTCTTATGTGCAAGAAAAGAGCTGAAATAAAAATTTGATACGGTGTCAGTATTGGACTGTACGTCGCTTTTGCGATTGTTAACCTCACATTGCGGTGCCAGACTTGTACAGTGTGAAATGATCGTTACCACTAGATTCATGTTTATTTTCTTAAACTTCAAATGTTCTTCATTTCCCGTTTACACTTCTGGGCTTCGGGGTCTATACGACCCCAACAATTGATTAATTGTAGAAAAAGTATACATTTTTAATATAAGTATATTTTATATATAATTACTTCTCATCTATTCATTTTCAAAAAAGTTTCTCATTTATTAATCGTTCAAACATTTACGTGTGAACGAACGGTGGTTTTTGAAAATACCTATGTTTGTGTAGACAGGGCGTGATGGTGCGTTCATGTGCTACGGTAATTATGGTAAATACCAAAAGCCGACGTGAAAATCCATACGAACACCCCCTCATGTGGTATTTTCCACCGGGCAACTCGTAGACTATTTTGATGCACGAGTTGCCGAGATGAGATAATCTTTGACCTTTTCAAAATGGCGGAGAGCAACGCAAGAGTCATGAACACTGGTTGTGAATGGTAGGCTACTAGAAAAAATATAGAGCATATTATTTACCGTTTGAGTTTTGATAAATAATTTTCTTGTAACAGATGACTTAAGCAATCTAAAATAGTTTTAGCTAAATAACAGCTCTGTATCTCCATATTTTTTTTTTTTTACCACATTTCTACAACAAAAGCACTAACGCAACACACGTGAACGCACCATGATACACACCCTGTGCATTTGACTCCTATCATGTCATGTTCTCATTGGTTTATGGTCATGTGGTTTTCAGTTGTGTCTTCCCATAGGCTCATTGTGTTGATTACTTTCAGGTGTGTCTTATGTCATTAACTTACTCATTAGTCCTTGTGTATACATATAGGTATCATGTTTCCATAATCTTTTGTCAAGCTTTGTTCTCTGTAATTGCTGTTTGGTGAGTCTCATGTTTATGTTTCAGAACTAAGTCATGTGTTGTTTATTCTTACATGTCCCCTTAAAATATTTCCAGGGCTTTCCTTCTTTTCCACAATCAACATGTTGGTGGAAGAGATAACCTGCATCACGTGTAAGTACTGATTTACAACCAATACAATTTGCATGATTTCTTGTTTTAACTTTATTGTTATTGGATTTTCAGTGTTGCTGTTTCTGTGTCATAATGGTAAGGCAATACTGACTAATACATGTGCAATCTCATTAAAGACTTTTGGTGAAGAATGTTTAAGCAACTTTACTTGTTTCTTTTCTTCAGGAGCTGAAGCAAATAAAAAAGCAATGGCTTGTGAAGGAGAATCTGTGCATCTCAAATGTGGTGAGTAGTCCTTAAGTTATACGTTTGGCTTTTGTTCCCAAAAAGGACCGTATGAGTGTAGGGAACCGGATTCATCAGTGTATCTTGAGCCTTTGTGTCCTAACAACATGAGATGTGCTTAAACTGGCACCATTATCTTTCTTTGAACCTCAGATGTGGGATTCATTAAGGTTGTTAAAGCCAACTATGGGCGAACTGATTGCGCAACATGCGCTAGTGGGAAACCAGCTAGTCAGCTCTCAAATCATCAATGCAGCTCAGAAGCGTCCCTCTCAATAATGTCCGCTCGGTAGGTTTAACCAGCAAAGAAGTTACAATTTTAGTTTATGCATTAAGCACAAGATGCATATTAACGCTAAGCTCTTGTCATTTGTCTGTCCATGAATCAGGTGTGATGGAAGAGAGTGCTGTACTGTTCCTGCAGGGAACTCTGTTTTCTCTGATCCTTGTTTTGGGACTTATAAATATCTGGACGTATCTTATGACTGTAACCCTGCAAGTAATTAATTTCCATTGTTCACTTTGAAGTTTAAAATTGTGTAAAGGCATGGCAAGTTAGTAAAAACATTTTACTATTTGCCTGTAGAAAGAAGTGTAACGTGTGAAAATAGTGAAAGCGTCATTAACTGTGGTAAGTTCTTTTCTTTTTATGTTTTTTAATGAGTCTAGTCTCATGTCTACAATGCTTTGAGTAGATCAGTACACAGCTCTTTTTTTTTTCCTTTTAAAAACCAAAAACTCTTTAATTGACATTTTTACTCATTTGCAAACAATCATTAAAGAAATCTTATCGATGTCTGTGTGTATCAAAAGGTAAAGGGGTTATTCATGTTCATCATGCCAATTATGGACGGCGGGATCTTGTCACCTGCCCTCATGAATTCGCAACCAGAGCCGACTGTTACTCTCCTCAGACCAGCAGCCTGCGTTCCAGGTACATCAACTACACTTCATCTGGAGTCACTTTAGGTCACAATGTCTTCAGCTATTTTTAAAACTAGTACAAAATGGTTAACATTTGAAGTGGATTAAGACCTTTCAAATTTATACGTCCCTTTGATTAATACTTGTTCTCATCTCAGGACAACTTTGAACTTTTTTTTTTTTTTGGCTCCACTTCAAATATTGACAACCGTAAACCAAAGGGACGAAGTACATTTGAGAATCATTATCCTGTGTATAGCTACTTAATGTGGAAATGAAAGAAATTGACTTTTTTTTTTTTTTTTTTTTTTTTTTTTTTTTTTTGTAGAATGATACAAGAGCTAATAGTCTTTTCTAATTTTTTTTCTCTCCTAAGGTGTGATGGGAAGAAGTCTTGTCAACTAAGTGCTTCAAATTCTGTCTTCTCTGATCCATGTGTTGGTGTTTTTAAGTATCTGGAAGTGACATACAGTTGTGAAACATGTGATTGACCATACTGCTAAAAAAATTCACCTTTTATGTCTGTCATGTACAGTGGAAATCAAAATAAAGCAAGTTTAAAAGTAGAATCAATCCAGATGCTTTACAAATGTTTTTAAGCATAGGTTTTAATTTTTTTTTTTTAACTAAAAATAGTTTTCAAATTGTGGCTTCCTTAGTAATGACATGCTATATTTCATAAAACACTATTTGTCTTTAGTTTCTGTAAAGCTTTTCTTTTGTAGGAATTGCAAAAAGCACTTTCCATACATTTTCAAAAGCATCTTCCAAAGACTTTTAAATGCACTACACAATCTTATCTAATTTAAAGTGCTGAAGTAATAACCCTGTCCCATTAAGAAGCCACCATCACTGCCCCAATCTGAATTTGTAAACCACTAGAGGTTTTTATTATTGTTGCGCTCATCTGATTGCAGTGCTGTGCTACAACAAAAGTGGATAATCTGAATTCATTTTTAAGAGATGTGGCTTAAATGATTAAGTCTTTAAAGTGCAAAAGGCAGCAAAAACAATGCCGTTTGATCTGAATGATGCAATTTCTGAGGTTTTTTTTTTTTTTTTGTGCACATACACCAGAAGCATGTGCTTATAAAGCTGCTGGTCACACTGCAAGTGCGTACTAAATTTCTTTTTGGCAGCTTATTGTGCATGATCAGTCAAACACACACATTTGTGTTGATGCCAATCTCTGCAAATTTTCGTTTAAACGGTTGGTTCTGTCTTTTGTGCAAGAAAAGAGCTGAAAAAAAAAAAAATTGGTGTCAGTATATTGGACTGTACGTCGCTTTTGCGATTGTTAACCTCATATTGCGGTGCCAGACTTGTACAGTGAATGATCCGGTGTAAATGTTACCAGTAGATGCTTATAATTTCTTAACCTTCAAATGTTCTTCAGGCTTCGGGGTCGACCCCAACAATTGATTAATTGTATAAAAAGTATACATTTTTAATCATATAAATTATTTTATATATATATAAATATATATATTCTCATCTATTCATTTTCAAAAAAGTTTCTCATCTATTCATCGTTCAAACATTTACGTGTGAACGAACGGTGGTTTTGAAAATACCTATGTTTGTGTAGTAGACAGGACCTGATGGCACGTTCATGTGCTACGGTAATGGGCTCTATGCACGGCGTTATTTCCGGTGAAGGATTATGGATGCTCGATAACTTCCGCCGATCATAGAGTCCAATGCAATACCGAGAATTTATATTGAATTTTATACTCCATGGTTATACTAATGAAACGTTAGTCACAAAAACAGATAAAACAGACACCCCTCGTTGTGTTTATGCTTCTTTTTAAAATTATATTAAATAAACATAACTATATATAAAATTACATCTAAACGTATGTACGTTTCGTTTCAAAGACGGGAGGACAGTAAATATTGAAGACTCTGCCATAATCCCGTTTTCTCGTAGACTATTTTGATGCACGAGTTGCCGTTGCCGAGACGAGATAATCTTTGACCTTTTCAAAATGGCGGAGAGCAACGCAAGAGTCATGAACACTGGTTGTGAATGGTACTAGAAAAAATATAGAGCATATTATTTACCGTTTGAGTTTTGATAAATAATTTTCTTGTAACAGATGACTTAAGCAATCTAAAATAGTTTTAGCTAAATAACAGCTCTGTATCTCCATATTTTTTACCACATTACTACAACAAAAGCACTAACGCAACACACGTGAATGCACCATGATACAAACCCTGTGCATTTGACTCCTGTCATGTCATGTGGTTTTCAGTTGTGTCTTCCCATAGGCTCATTGTGTTGATTACTTTCAGGTGTGTCTAATGTCATTACTCATTAGTCATTGTGGATACATATAGGCATCATGTTTCCATAGTCTTTTGTCAAGCTTTGGTCTCTGTAACTGTTGTTTGGTGAGTTTCATGGTTCATGTTTCAGAACTCATAGTCATCTGTTGTTTATTCTCACATGTCCCCTTAAAATATTTCCAGGGCTTTCCTTCTTTTCTACATTCAACATGCTGGTGGAAGAGCTAACCTGCATCACTTGTGAGTACTGACTTAGAACCAATACAATTTGCATGATTTCTTATGTTTTAACTTTGTTGTTGTTCTTGGATTTTCAGTGTTGCTGTTTCTGTATCATAATGGTAAGGCAATACTGACTAATACATGTGCAATCTCATTAAAGACTTTCAGGTGACGAATGTTTAAGCAACTTTACTTGTTTCTTCTCTTCAGGAGCTGAAGCAAATAAAAAAGCAATGGCTTGTGAGGGAGAATCTGTGCGTCTCAAATGTGGCGAGTAGTCCTTAAGTTATACGTTTGGCTTTTGTTCCCAAAAAGGGCAATATGAGTGTAGAGAGCCTTTGTGTCTTAACAACATGAGATGTGCTTAAACTGCCACAATTCTCTTTCTTTGAACCTCAGATTTGGGATTCATAAAGATCATTAAAGCCAACTATGGGCGAACTGATCGCAAAACTTGTGCTAGTGGGAAACCAGCTAAGCGGGTCTCAGATAAAAAGTGCTCCACATCAGCGTCCCTCTCTATAATGTCCGCTCGGTAGGTTTAACCAGCAAAAATAAAGTTTACTATTTTAGTTTATGCATTGAGCACAAGATGGATATTAATGCTTGTCTGTCCATGAATCAGGTGTGATGGCAGAAAGATCTGTACTGTTCCTGCAGAGAATTCTGTTTTCACTGATCCTTGTCCTGGGACTTCTAAATATCTGGATATATCTTATGATTGTATCCCAGCAAGTAATTTCCATTTGTTCACTTTATTAAATATTATAAAGGCATATTAAATTAGTAAGAAACATTTACTAATATTTACCCCCATCCCCCCAATAAAAACTGTAGAAAGAAGAATAATCTGTGAAAATAGTGAAAGCGTCATTAAGTGTGGTAAGTTCTTTTCTTTCTATGTGTTCTTTACAATGCTGATATGAGTGTGTGGTCATGTCTACAATGCTTTGAGTGGATCAGTCCTCCTGCAGTACACAGTTTTTTTTTTTTTTTTTTTTTTTTCTCCCTGTTTAATTTACTTTTTTTTTTTTTTTTTTTTTTTTAACTCACATTTGATCACAATCGCTAAAGAAATCTCATCAGTGTCTGTGTATCAAAAGGTAAAGGGGTTATTCAAATTCATCATGCCAATTATGGACGGCGATGTCTTGTCCCCTGTCCTCGTAAATTGACAACCAGATGCGACTGTTACTCTCCTCAGACCAGCAGCCTGCGTTCCAGGTACATCAACTACACTTCATCTAGAGTCACTTTAGGTCTTCAGGTATTTTTAAAACGGGTACAAAATAGTTAACATTTTAGCGGATAAAAACCTTTCAAATGTGTACATTTTTAAATCAAGGGACAATGTATAATTGAGAATCATTATCCTTTGTATTAATTTGCTACTTAACGTGGAAATGAAAGAAGTTGACTTTAAAATTGTAACTATTGATACTATAGCTAATAGGTAGTCTTTTCTAATTCTTCGAATTTTCTCTCTCCTAAGGTGCGACGGGAAGAAGTCTTGTCAACTAAGTGCTTCAAATTCTGTCTTCGCTGATCCATGCATGAAAGTTTCTAAATATCTGGAAGTGACGTACAGCTGTAAAAATTGAATGACCATCCTTTTGTCTGTCTTGTTCATGTCAACAAATTATGATAATGGAAAGCGAAATAAAGTAGGATCAATCCAGATGCTTTACAAATTTTTTTTCTTTTTTTTTGTCCTGAAATGTACGCTAGAACATTTTCTAAATGTGTTTTTTTTTTTTTTTTTTTAAATGTCAAACTAAAAATACTTCTCAAAATGGGGCTTCCAGTGATGCCTTGGACACAAATTGTCTAAAGCATCTTAACTTCTTTTTTTTTTTTTATGCTCCATACAGTCTTATCTCCTTTAAAGTGCTGAGTAACCTTCTGTCCCATCAAAAAGCCACCATCACTGCCCCACTTACCAGTACACAATCTGTCTAGAGGCTTAACTTATGGGGTGATCACGTTACTGGGAGAAAGATGGATGGAGACTGAGATTTGAGACCTCATTCTAATCCAGGCCAGGCTTTCACACACACAAATTTGATTGAACATACACAAACTCTTTTGGCCGACCCGACCGGTGTGTCTGGCCTATGATTTGGCCCAGATTTGGTCTTAAAGGAATCATATGCAAGATTGTGGCTAAAACTGGAACTGCAATTACTTTGCACCGTAGAGTGGTGTATCCCAAGTCCCTCACTGCTTCCCTCAAGGTTGCTAGATGTACTGTAGGATCCAGCAGGAACGTAGGCTGTTGCAAGAAGCTTCCAATGGCAAGTGACAAGTTTTTTTCTTTTTCTTTTTTTTTTTTCTGTTAATTTATTTCGGACATATCAAGTTATTTTTTCATCGTAAGATGTTCTTTATCCGATTCCGACAGGTTTGTATCTGCAGCTGTGGTAACTAGAGGAGCTGGCAACCCGAATGCCGCAACACTACTGACTCCGTGATTGGTAGATCAGTGGAGGGTGGAGCATCACACAAAACACAACATGACATCAACGTTGAGGGCTGCCACTTCACTTCAATATCCTCGCCGGACTATTGTTGTCAGTGATCTAAGTATTTGAAATGAACATGATTTGTTAATGTCTTGACACCACAGGTAAAATGTATGATTATTTGAAATAAATTTCTTGCATACAGCTCCTTTTCGCAGAATCACATTGAACTGAAAAACATGTTATCTTTGTTATCAGACAGTGTTCTTTTGTTATAGTTTTGAATTCATTAGCTTTGTGTAGTGTTGTATCGGCATAGGGAGATGCACTTCACCTTTAACAAAATTGGTAACCTTTTCGGTAGGCCTCTATATATTGAAATTCATGATGTTATTATTCCGTGTTGTGATTTTGTTGTGATTGCTTCACTGCCATTTGAATGCACTCTTCAGAATCTCGGCGGAAGTAGTAGGTCATTTGGGCACATTTCGTCTACTGTTTTTTGAATACTTTGCATTCAGACACACCAATCTGGCATACTGTATTTCACATAATATTGAATGGTCTATAGGGGGAAGTATTCAATGTCAGATGCAGTGACTGATTTATCACAAATTCACAATATTTTTTGAATCTCCTACTGGCACATTTAATAAACACATAACCATATTAAAAAAACGTTTTATGAAACATCTATGACTTTTGCATTTACTATAATATGGTAAAGCACAAGTAGAAGTAGATATAAAAACTCATAGAAGCTTATACTTTCTTCTGAATTGTAATCAGAGCAGTTTGTTGCAGCTGGCAACTGCAAATACAAATCCCATGTCTGAATAAGAAAGTGCGTTCTACTTTGGTTTTCATCATCCATCCAAAGCAGTAAATCTCTAAATTGGTATATGATCAAAACATACAGATGAAGAATCCTCAAGAATAATGTAAATAACATAACATTTTCATTTAAAATGAACTAAATCGGACCTAGGCCTGTTAGAGCTGTGCATGTAAACCTCACTCCCCAGGCCTCAAGAGGCTGCGGTCTTCAGTGTCCTTGTTAGTGTGCTTACCTTCCACACCAGAGACCCTAGACAACTGGATTTCATGTAAGTCAATTTATTTATTTAATTTAATAAAGCATCATTTAAATTTATGTTAACTTGCTATGTGAATTTGATTCTTTCGATAATAGATAGTTTGAATGTTTGATTTTGGCAGCTCTAATTTTAATTTTACCTTGCCGACAAGGTAAGCCCTTGTTGAGTCGTTTTGCCAGTAAAAAACAGCATGTGTGCGATACAATTTAAAACAATCCCTAAAGTACAGTATTGCTTTTTAATAAGTAATAGCACTTTACTGCATTCTAAACAGCCTTTCTCTCTTTCCAGGTGTTGAAACAAAAAAAAAATGTCACATATGAAGCTCAGTTGTGGTGAGTAAATCTATATTCTAACACTTCACAATTGTTCTCATAAGTTGTTTCGTATGTCAGATTGGAGATACATAAAGGTAGTTACAGCAATGGGCCAACTGCCAACTGACCACACGGCATGCTCCACTGCACGGCATCACTAGCTCTAAAATGTTGACCGCTCCTAAGAAACATCCCTCCGTATGTTGTCCATCTGGTACCTGCTTCTTTCCAGGCAAAAGAATACTTGACCTTCACTTCAATTGGTCTTCAATTGACAATTTGCACACAATGTTCTTAAAGGGAAAGTTCACCCCAAAATAAAAATTCTGTCAGTAATGACTCACCCTCGTGCTGTTCCAACCATTCACGTGGTGAAAACTATGCAAAGCTTAAGGCTTGTTCAACTTCATGCAGCTCTGCGCAGACCGATCGGTAGCTGACTTGAAGCAGTGCATGCCTGTTTGAAATTTTGTCCGACCTGATCATAGACAGTAAAAGAAATGGCCATAGCGACCCCATTGATTTCAACGGAGAAGACTGAAGCCTTATTATTGCACTTCCCGTCTGACGTCTGAGCGACCGCGCAGGCTCAAGCTGAGCGTGACGACAGTCTGACAGGTGGAAATTTTCTAGTAGCTGTGCCAAGACAAATCTGAAGCACCTAATTCCTCAAAAACATTGTTGAAATATTTTGTCCCGTTGCTTTTATGGACTCTCTATTTATGTGCTTCTACCGTGACTTTGTTCCTCAGTGTCCCCCCGATTGCCTCACAGACCGTAAAAGATTGCCTGCGAGCTTCTCCTCCTGTCTATAATGTCTCTATTGTGAGACAGAAAGTCCCGTGGTTATCACGCAATCTTTAGCCTATTTTTACAAAAACAGGTGGGCCATAACGTAAGATACAAGCTAATGGAGCATTTTATACATTGTTGTGTTTCTTTAGAAATAAATAAATAAATTATTTGGACGCCTCAGGTGTAAAGTTATTCGCTGTCAAAGTAACGCCAAAATGAATGGGTGTCAATGGGATGGTGACAGCAGGTGAAGTTCTGCTACAATGGCGGCTCGCGAAGCATCTACTTCCGACTGATGGATTACCCCATTTGACTCGATGCAGCGCTGACTTCACATGACTCGACTTCATGTGTCTGTTTGCAGCTCCTCCCCGCCTGCACACGGCAACTCTTGCCGATCAGTTACATCCAGCTGCAGCCGATGTCGAACACACCGTAGTGTTGCACGCAATGGGCTATATGCACGCATAAGTTCTGCATTTGACGCAAGGATGCTCAACAGTTTCCGGTTGGAGAGATTAAAGCGGGGGAAAACAGAGGAAAACGGGATTATGGCAGAGTCTTCAAAATTTACTGTCCTGTCTTTGAAACGAAACGTTCATAGGTTTAGAATGTGATTTAAAAAGAAGCATAAACACAACGAGGGGTGTCTGTTTTTTGTGACTAACTTTTCTTTAGTATAACCATGGAGTATAAAATTCAATATAAATTCTCAGTATTGCATTAGACTCTACGATCGGCGGAAGTTATCGAGCATCCTCACCGGAAATACCGCCGTGCATAGAGCCCAATTGACCGACGCTGGTCATGTGTTTGTGATGCGTTTGACGTACAACTAGAAGCTGTGCGTAGTTTGAATCTCACGGGTCCGAGAAGGAAATGAATAGTTAAACAAAGTCGTTGTTTTGGTTTGTTTTTATGCGCACATAAAGTTCTCGTCGTCGCTTGATAGGGTGAGCCAATGTAGTCACTCGGACTATTTTAACGATGTGCATAACTTTTGGGCCGTCCAGTTTCTATCCCTTAAGAAGCCTATGGAGGGATCCAGCTCTCAGATTTAATAAAAATATCTTAATTTGTGTTACGGGGTTGGAACAACATGAGGGTGAGTAGCTACTGACAGAATTTTCATTTCGGGGGGAACTTAAACTTTAAGAACTTCGTTACAATATGAGCCAGTTGAAAAAACTTACGGTGAAATGTCACTTTTGGTGTGTTGGCATCATCCATCCCGAGGTAGCTTTAAAACAATCAATACTGTAATAGTTTGTAATCTAGTCACTTAGTCGGGCCTTGCATTCATTTAGTTATTCAAATGTAAAATGAAAAAAAAAAAAAAAAACACGCACATTTCCTCCTAAGCATAAAACCATCAGTTTTCAAACTTTAGAGTGTAAAAAGCCTAAACGCACTGTAAATTAAAGATTAATTATGCAATTGATTTGATTTTCACAAGTGTGCCGAAATCTGAGCTTTTCTGTCAGTGATTATAAAGGGAGAGCGTTTATTGCCTATAAGTTGTTTTTCATTAGACTTTGTGAGTTCATTTTGTGATAATGTGTTGTGATAATTTATACTTCACATTGACAATTTATTTTTTAATGTAGTGATTTTATAATGTTTAATATTTATTCAAAAGCGACGAGTGGGAAAATATTACTGGAAATGGTTAAAATGCCAATACATTATCCTCTGCTGACATCTGCAGGTTATAGTGGCAATTGTTTTCTTTTTTTTCTCTTTTTTCATAAAAGTGTTTTCTATCAAATGTTGTATTTCTTACATTTTGAAATGTTAGATTTTACAAATAGGGACAATCTCGGAAGGATGAACAAATAATGTTTTTGGTCATCACATTAAAAATAACATTTGCTGGAAAAATGTTGCGTGCACGTGTCCGACAGTGTTTCTTATTCCAACGTTCCCGTAAGCGTCGTCTTTATTGCAATCTAGAAAATTAGTTTATTGGCAAATTTAGTTTATTATGATAACTGCATTTAAATATAA